GACACAACTGAAGTGACTCAGTATACCCGCACACTATATACGTTATTCCATTCTCTCAATTCATCACCCGCTTTACCCACATTTGTCCATACATTTGTTCTCTATGTCTGTGATTATATTTCTGCTTTGTAAATAAGATCATCTGTATCATTTTTCCAGATTCCATATATATGCTTTAATATATGATATTTGTTTTTCTCTTTTTGACTTACTTCACTATCAACTGATTTTAAATTCTCTTTTGCATCAGCGTGAGTCTGTGAATTCTTTTTTTTTTTTTTTTTTTGTGGTTGAAATCCATTAAAAACACATATGGACACAAGATAAACAACCATGAAATCCTCACTGGAAGCCAGTTATGTGTATGGGAAGTGATTTATTGACACTCTAATTGGACAGTTCATTGCTTGGTCTTTATCAGACATATCCTGCTATTTTCTGCTGTATAGTCAGGCCCCAACCATGAGTCCAGCTGTGAGCAACGTTGTGGACAAGGGAGTTGCTTCTGTGCTGAGAGCAGCTATGTTATCAAATGCCTGTGCATAGACTAAAAGCCACTCGGGCACAATGTAAATGTGTTTTAAATGTTTACTGTAGTCTGTATTTTATGAGTTGGGCCTAGCAGAAGTAGTTTTTCACATCCTGAGCTATGCCATCTGTCAAATTTGAAGCAGATAATTGTAATAAAAATTGAAATTAACAACAGTAAGTTCTAGGTAATACAGGTAAATTAAAAAGGTATGTGTCTCCTTCCTGTTAGCACATTCTACCATTTTCCAATGCTTACTTCATGGTTAAAGGCAATAAATGTAGTAGATACACTTTAGGAAATCCCACCAGAAGGAATATAAACAGCACCAATTAAAAGGGGTCAGAGGGTTCCCTTTTCTCCACAAGGAACCCTCCTGCACTGTTGGTGGGAATGTAAATTGCTGCAGCCACCTTGGAGAACAGTATGGAGTTTCTTTAGAAAACTAAAAATAGAACTAACATGATCCAGCAATCTCACTCCTGGGCATGTACCCTGAGTTTTAAAATTATATTTAAATTTAAAATTGATGTATACATCCACATGTGACTAGTGATGACCACTTGGCACAGTCACAAGACTTGGAAGCAACCTAAATGCACTTTGACAGGTGAATGGATAAAGTGGATATGGTACAGATATACAGTGGAATATTGCTTAGCCATTCAAAAGGAACAAAACTGAATCATTTGCAGGCAGGTGGGTGGACCTACAGACTGTCAAACAGAGTGAAATAAATCAGAATGAGAAAAATAAATATTGTATATTAATGCATATATATGGAATCTAGAAACATGTTATAATTCTGCACAAATCAATATGGGGCAAGCAGCCCTATATGCCTACTGAGAATCAGCAGCAAACAATGAAGAGGTCAACTTTGGAGAAAGTATCAGGGTTCAGAGTGGTATGTTTGTTCAAATGAGATTATTTTCCCCCATTACTGTTTATTGAGATTTTTTCTGTCCATCCAGAATAATTCAAATTAATAAAACTTTATACTTTGAAAACATAGGTCTCAACTTCCAAACAAAATTGATGAGAATATTTGCATTAAAAAAGTTGTTGATAGTGACCAGAGGGCACTAATGTTGTCATCATCCTTTATGTGTAAAGAAAGGTGAGAAATATCTCCTTACCACATATAAATTTAAGTAAAAACTATACTGTCACTATTTATTGCAAACTTAGGGCTTTGATCTGGTCTTTTCCAAAAGAAAAGAGAATTACTATAATTTTCAGAGATATCTTTTAGAAATCTCCCACCCTAGATTCTTTACTTGTTACTTTGAGATTACACTTTTTATAGAAAAGTATCTTTTGGTAGAAAGTTGTATTTGTTCACTCAAAATCAAAGTAAGTATATTCCCAGAGCCAAGCTTAAAATTTGAATATATATATTCAAGGAATAAATATTTGCTGATTGATTTAGATGAAAAATAAGATGAACATTATATGGCAGGTGAAACTTGGGGTCACTTGGTAACTCCAGAATATAATTCCATATGAGACAAAATGGGAAAGTGTGTGTTTTTGTGTGTATTTTCATGGATTTTGAATTCAAAAAATAGATCTTAGATTTGGAATTAAGCCATACAGAAAATATTTTTTTAAAAAACCTTTCCAGATCATTTTGAACAAGCAGATACAGAATGAAAACCTCATAGAATATGACTATGATTTCTACTGAAATATTTCATGAAAGCTACAGTCAACAGGAAAATTAAAGAAAATGTAAAAGATAATTGACTTGAGGACTCTAAAAGTAAAAATAAAGGTTAAGCTGTTATTTACAATCACTAATCTTTTCATCATTTACAAAAAATACCTTAAAATATGGTTAGTCAGCCTCTCTGACAGACTGTGCATTCCTTCAGATCAGCTAAAATACTGCATAACAAACAGAAACTGCATTCTCTTGTTGAAAGGCAAGAATTTGATAAATAATTGTTAGATTTGTAGAGTGAATTACTTTACTCTCCAGATTCAGGAAACAAATTTGATAATGTATATTTGGCCAATGTATGCAATTCTAATTTTATACCTCTATTATCAGTGCACAATAAAGTAAGATTTATATTTTTAAGTAAAAAAAATATATTAAAAAGAAAAGAACAATTGAATACTCTATATTTGTAAGAATGGATAGATCAGAAACAACAACTGAGTATTTAAAACCCTGAATGGTGTTTCCATTTTCAGAGAATCAAAATAATGTAAGATAAATCTCTTCATGTCTGATGAACAATAATATCACTCCTCTATTAACAGCATTTTGGATTATAGATGGAAATGGAAACTGTATCTGAGTCTAACAATTTCCAAAGAGTAAATGAAGTGCCAGAAATAAAATGTCTTTTATTCACAGTTCCCAATATCTTACTTCCTCTGCTTGGAAAGAAGACAGCAAATCTTCTACAGAAAATCATATTCCAATTATGTAACCATCATATGCATGATCGGATACACTGGTTCAAATAAGCAGCGGTCCAAGAATGCATTGTTGTTGTTTAGTTGCTAAGTCATGTCCAACTCTTTACAACCCCATGAACTGTAGCCCATCAGGTTCCTCTATCCATGGGCTTTCCAAGGCAAGATTACTGGAGAGGGTTGTCATTCCCTTCTCCACCAAGAAGGTATATACATGGCAAACTAAAAGTAGTGCTATTCCAAAACCTGTGTTCTTCCTTTTTGGGAAATAGCTTATTGGTTAAAACTTATAGAAAATCATACACCAAATTAGACTTTTCTGAATAACCAGATAATTCCAGATGCAGTAACTATAGCCTTGATTAGAGCACATGCTCCAAACTTCAAACTTTCATCACACTTAAATAATCTTCCTGGCAATAAACATTATGCAAATACAGGCAATGAGGGAAAACTACTTCTGGAAACTGCAATGTGCATTTAAGAAAAGAGCTATGGAACACAAAAATGTGCTTTACTGATTCTACCAAAGGATTTCTTTCTAGAAACTGCAATCAGGATGCTGCCACATAGGAGAGGACTCATTGTGATTCAAGGAAAACAAAGGTAACACCAGTGGAATTTTGTACAGATTATAACCTAATAGTTCACTGCCACTTTTAAAAATATATATTTTTGGACTTGCCCAGCTTTTTAGAAGAAGTTTGTAATTCCTTAGAATGAGTTCTTTCTTCTTGTTTCTTGTTCAGTAAGTCCCTACACAGGCCGTTCCTTGATCATCAGGGTCAAAACGATCGAGCATCCCCATGTGGAAACCAAAGAACAAGATGCAGGGCAGTACCAGAAACCAAGGAGAGGCAGTTCCACCAAACCATCAACACCCTGTGTGGACCCTCACCCTGCATCCTGGCTCAAACGGCTAGGCTTAGAGGGTGTGCTGTATTAAGAAAAATCTTTTCATCTGAAAAAAAATTCGTTTGTTTTTTTTTAGACTTGAAAAACTGTACCCCTCATAATGCAGTGGCAGGCTCATTAACTGTCCGTGGTGGTCACTGTGGTGACCCACCTAAATCCAACAATATTTGGGAAACATGAAAATTCCCAATGAACATGTTAACTGTCAAAGAAAACTTCCTTAAAAATTTTAAGTAAAATGATGTAAATAGGAGTTTCCATATTTATTTTGAAATCTCCATGGGTTACCTCCATCTCTGCATCACATGTGTAAGACACTTGGAGAGCTTTGCTGCTAATTTCCCTATTAGGCTAAATAAATAGGCTGCAGGCGACTCCCTCTACCTCTGAGTAAGCTGTTCTATCTTTAGAGTCTCTACCCAAAGGGATATATGAGCCTAATGCCGTCATTTTCAAGTATGCGCCCCAGGCAGTTTGCAAATCAATATTTTCCTTCAGGTCATGGACCTGCATAGGTATCTCTTTTCTTATCTCCCCAGTTCAGGGACTTTTGTTGCCGCTGCTGCTAAGTCGCTTCAGTTATGCCCAACTCTGTGCGACCCCAGAGACAGCAGCCCACCAGGCTCCACCGTCCCGGGATTCTCCAGGCAGTACTGGAGTGGGTGACCATTGCCTTCTCCGCAGGGACTTTTGAGCAGTATATTATCTATGTCAGATACTGTAACTGTGTCATACAACTGTATTTCTTTTTTCACTCATTTAACTCATCCATTTTCCTTTCTTTTCTTCTCCTTGCTTCATTTTTGGCAGAAGAGAAATTCATATTTATTAAAATTTCCATTTTCTATCTGATGTTTGACTATGGCAAAAAAATATGATTATCTTTGCACCTGATATACTGTAAACTTAAATTGATTTAGGGTTTTTGATTTTTTATTTCAAGTATAGATTTCATAATCTTTATTATTAAAGTGTGTAATATTGTTACATTAAAACATTCAAATACTGAGAAGAACATTCTTAGAATGTGTTTCTTTCTCTTTCTTAAAAAAAATGTTTTACTCCATTTCATTGAGGAAATCTTTATACACAATAAAATGGATGAATTTCAAATGTACAGATTGATGGGTTTTGACACTGGATACACTGCAATCAAGATACAACCACTTCCCTCCTGCCTTAGGCAGTAAATGTTCCTGCCCTGTCACCATGGCTCCAGGTAGGCATGACCTTCTTCCTGTCACTATAGGTTAGTTTTATGTGTGAAAGCATTTCATGTAAATGAAATTATGTACTATGTCTTCCTTTGTGTCATTCTTTTGGGTCTCAGCATGTTTTTGAGGTTTGTGCATGTTCTATGTATCACTGATTTATCTTTGTGTTCATGTATCACATGTACCACAGTTTACTTATCTATTTAGTATTATCTTAATATTTGTTTATTTGTTTGGCTGCTTTGAGACTTAGTTAACACAGTTTGTAGGATCTTTGCTGCATCATGTGGGATCTTTCCTTGTGGCACCTGAACTGTCTCCTTGTGGCACACAGGCACAGTAGATCCAGCACACGGGCTTAGTTGCTGCAAGTCATGTTGGGTCTTAGTTCCCCAACCAGGGATTGAACTCAAGTCCCCTGCATCGCAAAGTAGATTTTTAATCGCTAGACCACCAGGAAGGTTTCTATCCACTCACTACTGATGGGTATTTGAGAAGTTTCCATTTGGGGATTAATACAAATGTAAGAGTTCATCTGTTCACCTGTTGGTTCCAATTCTGGACTGGAATGAATGTGCAAATGTGTATTTGTCACTTCACTTGTGTAAGTACCCAGGAGTAGAATGGCTGGCTTGTGTGGTAAGCATGATTGCCAAGTTGTTTTACACACTGGTTGTGCCTGCATTTTCCACCAGCAATGCACATTAGCTTCAAATCTTCCCTGTCTCTCCAATGAATGGTGTACAGTTTTGTTGATGGCGCCATTGCACTGGCCGTGTATTGCAGTCTCATAATGGTTGTACTCTGTTGTTCAGTCAATCAGTCGTTTCCGATTCTTTGTGACCCTGTGAATTGCAGCACACCAGGCTCCCCTGTCCTTCACTATCTCCCGGAGTTTGCTCAAACTCATGTCCATTGAGTCACTGATGCCAGTACTTCGTAATCAACAATGATGTTCAGTTCAATTGCTCAGTCGTGTTGGACTCTTTGCGACCCCATGGACTGCAGCATGCCAGGCTTCCCTGTCCATCACCAGTTCCTGTAGTTTACTCAAACTCATGTCCATTGAGTTGGTGATGCCATCCAACCATCCAATCATGGTGATGCCATTCAACCATAATTATGTTAATCACCAACTATGTATATAGCAGCATACCCATTATTCTTCCTAGAAAGTTAGTAGGAAATACAGTCTTAAAATATTAATCCAGGGGTATGGCACTCAACATAGGTATCAATGCCAAAGAAGATTTGAACTATTTACTATTTTCCATGATGCAATGTAATACAGAATATATTCAGTTCAGTTCAGTCACTCAGACGTGTCCAACTCTTTGCGACCCCATGAATCACAGAACGCCAGGCCTCCCTGTCCATCACCAACTCCCAGAGTTTACTCAAACCCGTGTCCATGGAGTCGGTGATACCATCCAAACATCTTATCCTCTGTCATCCCCTTCTCCTCCTGCCCCCAATCTCTCCCAGCATCAGGGTCTTTTCCAATGAGTCAATTCTTCCCATGAGGTAGCCAAAGGATTGGAGCTTCAGCTTCAGCATCAGTCCTTCTGATGAATATTTAGCCTCCTCTTTTTAGAACACTTACAAGAAGAAAGGGTTCATACTATTACTGATATTTAATGAAAACTCTTCATTCAGTGTTGTTCATATAAAAATGTACATAGATTTGTAAAAGTATGTGTTTCTTGGAACTAAGACAATAATAATAGAAAAAAATCTTTAAAAACAAACCCTTCTTCCATCACAGAAACCCTCTGATTAAGGTTGAAAATCCAACTGGTGATCACTTCCTGTTAAGTTTCCAAAAGGAACTAACACAAAAGAGTGCTCGGGCTCCATTCTCTGGTTCTGTGCCTCCAATCAGGGCTGTTACTCACATATAAGAAGGGAACCCATCTTTTCTAATTTGCATCGAGGTCTTCTGCGGGCTAGCCAGGGCCCTGGACTGGTCCATCTTTTAGGACACATTGAGGTTCACACTTTGATTTGATTCTTCCTAATGAATGACAGGATGAGAACCTAGATCTGTCTGTCTTGTCCTCCCAAAAGCTGCCTAGGGGACTCAGGCTCACCACGCTTCCTCAAAGCTATCAGGCTNTACTTCTCTGTATTCTTGCCACCTCTTCTTAATATCTTCTGCTTCTTTTAGGTCCATACCATTTCTGTCCTTTATCGAACCCATCTTTGCATGAAATGTTCCCTTGGTATCTCGAATTTTCTTGAAGAATGTATTAAATACCTTGTATTTAGAGATGAATCATTTCTGATAATTTGTGCCTTTCTAATAATATTTTGAATGTTATGTAATTGTCAAATTTATGGACACAGATTTGTTCATGATATCACTTGATTGTCTTAATTTCTGTAAATTCTGGAGCTCTCTCTTTCATTCCTGCTATTGATAAGTTGTGTCTTCACCTATGTTTTCTATTGATCCAGCCAGAAGTTTATTTTTCTGATCTTTAGAAAAATCCTTTCATGTTACTGACTTTTCTTACTAGTTACTGTTGACTTATTTACTTGTGTTCTATTGTCCTTTTCTTAGTTATCTTTTTCCTCATTTCTTTAGGTATTAATACAAATTGTTTTAGATCTTTATTTTTTCTAATATAATTATTTAAAGTCTTAAATTTCCTTCTAAGCAATATATTAGCAGTATCTCACCTATGTTGAAATATTATGTTTTCATTTACATTTAACAGGAACATTTTTAAAATTTTTGTGAATTTCCTTTGACTCATGGTTTTGTAGAAATGATCTGATTAATGCTCAGGTATTTGGAAATTTTCTAGATAGATTTCTGCTGTCATTTTAAAATTTAATTCTGTTAGATGCAAAATACAGTTTTATAGTTTCAATCCTTTTGATTTTTGAAGGTATGTTGTATGCCCCAGCATAAGGTCTATTTTGATGAATTGCCCATATGCTACCAATAAGAATGTTTACTCTGCTATTGCTGAATAAAAACTTCACAAATTCAATTACCTTATATTTCTTAATACTCTTTATCAACTACTGAGAGAGAAGTTTAAATTGTCCACATATGATTGTGGAATTTCCTATTTACTTTTCAGCTCAATCTGCGCTTGTTTCCTGCATTTTGAGCTTGTGTTACTACTGTTGTTGTTCAGTTGCTAAGTCATGTCTGACTCTTTGTGATCCCGTGGATTGTAGCCTGCCAGACTGTTCTGTCCGTGGGATTCTCCAGGCAGGAATACTGGAGTGGGTTGCCATTTCCTTTTCCAGGGGATATTCCCGGACCAGGGGTCAAACCCATGTCTCCTGCGTTGGCAGGTGGATTCTTTATCACTGAGCCACCAGGAAAGCCCCTGTCTAAGGATAAATACGTATTAAAAAAAAGAATAAAGCCACAATATAAGCACAGTGATAAATGGCAACTGATCTGTACTATATAGGACAGAGGGCAATAGGGAAAGGTGGGGACTGTGGTGAGCTGGAGAAGAGTATCTCCTTTAAAGAGGTGGGAGCTCCATTCTAACCAATTGCTGCAGTACAGAAGGAACACAGACCTATGTTACCAGGGTCTCTGGTTTGTATTCAAGACACACTAGATCCAGAGTTTTATGCATATCTCCATATTTTTTTTAATGTTTCTAAATACTTAAAAAATAACAACAACAGAAAATCTATGGTGGTTAAGAATAACCATATCAGAGGCCTTGGGATCCCTCTCCTGGATAGTGAAGGAAGACAGACCCTTGGAGGTTACGAAGTCCAGTTCCCTAACTTGACCCATTAAAAAAGTAAGGTTCAGAGAGGGAAAGGACATGCCCAAGAACACAACAATTCAGGCCCCAAGTTAGGATCCCATTCGGGAATACAGTTGACTTTGGCACAATATGGGGGTTAATTTGAGCATAATTTGTGGTTGGCCGTCCACATCCTTGGTTCCTCCACCAACCGCAGACCCTATAGTACCGTAGTGCTCACTACTGAAAAAGATCCGTGTATAAGTGGACCCACACAGTTCAAATCTGCATTGTTCCAGGGTTAACTGTGTTTGCTTTCCCGTTATCCTACTTTCTGCTGATGCAGAGAGACAGACGTGGCATGTGGCGAATCATGGAGGAAGTGCTGGGGTTGGGATCACAGTTAGTGGGTATACACATTTAGGGTTATAAATTAACCTTCTTGGTTAAGTTCCCACTTTATTATTTTATAATTTTTAAAGTATAATTCCTTGTCCTAAAATTTACTTTCTCTGACATGAATGTAGTTATACCTGTTTTCTTATTAGTAGTGGTATATTATGTGTGAATATATATTTATGTTTATTTATAACACCTATCTGTGTTAGCATTTGAAATGCATTTCTTGTAGGTTATATAATTGGGTCTATCTATTTCATTCAGTGGGGTACTCTCTCCCTTTTAACTGTAGTCTTTCTTTCATTTCCTTTAATTAAGACTATTATTAAGTTAAAATCTATCCCTTCATTATTTGTTTTGTAATTGTACCTCTGCTATTTTCCCTCTTCTCTCTTTTATTTCTTTTTTTTTTTTTTTTTGCTCCAATTTCCTCTATTGTCTTATAGCAATAGCTTTACATTTCATTTTTAATGGTTGTTCTAGGGTTTTCTACATGCTTCTTGTCACACTCGGCTTCAGTTAATGTTAACATCACTTCAGGTAAAATGCAAAACAATCTTAACAACATAGAAATTATATTTCCCCCCATCCTTCTTACTTTGGTTTTCATACATAGGATTTATAACATATGTTACATGTATATTACAAGCTTCACGGTAGACTTTCTGATATTTCTGTTTTATAAAAATGAGAGAATCGTATTGACACAGCATGATGTTTACTCACACATTTACCATTCCCAATAGTATTATTTTCAGGAAATCCAAGTTTTCATCTAGTAGCACTGTTCTTCCATCTGCAGGATGTAGACTATAGGCTTCAGGTGTGGCTACATGCTTCAGTCTTCCACCAGAGCAAGCCATCAAGAGAGAAGACAAGTAAGATGTCTTTTAATCTAATGTCAGAAGTTATATCTCATCACTATTGCCATCTTCTACTAATAACCACAAGTCACTATGCCCTGCTCACACTTAAGGAGAAGAGAGCATGGGTCCCAGAAGGGGGGACCATTAGAAGCCTCCTCGAATAGTGGGATGCCCATACTAGTAAAGTGTAACTGCTGCTAGGTGCATCCAGAACATCCTAATGTTCAGTGAAGACTCCAAAGTCTGTATCAGACTGCAACATCTTCCAGACCTGAACAAGCTCTGGGAACTGTTCACTTTACAGTTCCCTGAACACTCTATCTGACCTCCCACAGTTTTGCTCAGTATATAGCAACCAGCTTAAGGGGATCCTTGTACAAGTTTTGGGGAGCTCTATCTTTGCAGAGCCCAAATCTCTCTGGTATTATGTCATCTAAATTATACCGCATCCCCCTCCCTGAGCCCTGCCCTCATTCCTCTCATTCAATAAGACCATCATGTTGAAATTTACTTTTTCCTCCTGCATGTGGTCTGGCAGGTACCTCCAGGCAGAAAGCTGGGGCAACTCTAGACTCTCATCATTTGCATCCCTTATCTCAGGGGTCACCATCACGCTGCCCATTGTCCCACATTTGGGCACAGAAGTATTGTCTGTCATATCTGGTTTATACATGTCCATGGGAAATTGGCAAGTCTGCTCCAGCTGTTTCATATCATCCAGAAGCAGAACTCTTCCAGGGATTTTTTAAACAGTTTTATTTTTCCACAGACTGCAAATAGTGTAGTTAGGATATATTTTGCTCATATAAATGTTACAAGCACTTCCTGCATATAAACAATAAAATTAGAGTTTGAAAATGTACTAAATTAATAAGAATATAAGTACCTAAAAGTGATTTCTATAGGGTCCCTCAATATAGCAAAGTGTCTTTAAAATATAATTTTCAAAACATGTGAAGGAGCACACAATTGGTCTATTTTAAAAAGTAACTGAATGTATGTCAATCTAAATGTAATTTAATTCATTGCAATTGTTAACCATGAAAACTCTGATAAAGTTTTACATTGTTTCTAATTGTTTCCCATCCTTATACATTTTAAAATCCTAGAAATGTCTTCCACAGTATTTTTTTTTCCTCAGGCATGCTTCACTTTATGGTAATGGTACTTGCAAAGGTTACAAGTGAAAGGTTCATCAGATTAATAATAGCTGATGCTGTGCTCCGCTAAACTTCCCAACATTTCCCTTTCGCTGTCCTACTTCTATCACATGACTGTGATAGAATGTGATAAATGTCTTAGGGATTTGAAGCTAATTAAGCAAGAAGAGCACAAGTTTCTTTCACATTTATTTGCTCCTTGCTTTTGTGTTCAGGAGAACATTTACGGCCCTCTTTCCCCTTGTCACAACTGAGCCTGTAAGATGACCTTCCACTGTTTTTGTGAAAGAGCCAACCGTTGCAGAGGACCACCCACTGACTGATCTCTACATGCTCACTGCATAGAGATACCGCTCATGTAGATTCGGGTGTGATTTCTGCACAGATTCAGCCTATTGCATATGCAGGAAGAGGGACAGTTACTTCCAAGAACCTGTTTGAAGAAGTGAAAATGGCATATTTACGTCTTCCCCTAACTAGAATTCAGGCCAAACTTGGGCAAAAGGTTTTTAAAAGTACAGTTTATTCAGCCCATCAAGCTATACTCTTTAAGTTTTCTCAAGGTATTTCATGTATTTCTAATGGAAAGGTTCAAAATTAGGCATTGACAGTATTTTAAAAATTTGTTTTGTGTCCCTTTGCCACATCTGTACATCATCTGTGTGCTTGCTTATGTATTTTCCCTTCAACTGATTCACCGTTTCCACTTGAATTTATCCTAAAAGGAAAATTTATTACCTGTACTCTAAATGGAAACCAGTACCATTGAAACAGAGTCAGACAGAACTGAGAGAGTCAGACAGAGACAGAGTCAGACAGAACTGAGAGAGTCAGACAGAGACAGAGTCAGACAGAACTGAGAGACAAACACTCTACTCACTAGCAGGACATGGGTCCGCAAAAGAAGGCAGCAGAGAAAGATAGAAGGACAGACCGTAACAACCATATGCATGGAAAAGAGAGGTTGCCGTAGGATGTTGGTTAGAGCCCCAAACAAATACCACTTACAAATGTCATGACATGAAGAGTATGATTTTTTTTTTTCCTAGCACTGGTCATGTTTTTTATTTGCTCATTTTCTTTCAGCATTTTAATATGTATTTATTTTTAGCCATGAGGGAAGCCCCCAAAATAGATATGTATGTGTTAAAATGCTGAAAAAACGAGTAAATAAAAAGCTTGACCAGCGTCAGAAAAAAAAAAATCATACTCTTCATGTCATGATGTTTGTAAGTGGTATTTGTTTTGGGCTCTAGTCAACAGTCTACAGCAACCTCTCTTTTCCATGCCTATGGCTGTTATGATCTGCCCTGCCTTTCTCTGACCCATGTTCTGCTAGTGGGTAAAGTGTTAATCACTCAGTCATGTACGACTCTGTGACCCCATGGACTGTAGCCCACCAGGCTCCTCTGTCTATAGGATTCTCCAGGCAAAAATACTGGAGTGGATTACCATTCCCTTCTCCAGCTCATCTTCCCAACCCAGGGATCAAACCTGTGCTTTCAGCATTGCAGGCAGATTCGTTACCATCTGAGCCACCAGTTTCTAAAATTTAACTTCTGGGCAAGAAGTCTGATTTTCAGATTGGATCTGAAGGTAGTTCCTAAATTGCCCCGAAGTTATGACTATCAGGATAGTTCTGATGCAGTATTTTTAAGCATATTCCTGGGCCAGCACTGCTAAAAATATAACTGCAGAATTGGTTTCTCCTCGCCATCTGAAAGACTACTGTGGTCCGCTGGCATTATCTAAAAGAGAAGGCAGAATGTTCAATTAGTAAAGGGGAAAAAGCAATTTTTTCTCACTGATGAGAAATAATGACTATGTTTGAAAACTTTTGTAATAGATAATAAATTATCTATTTATTTGTAATAGATAATAAAACTTTTTTAACAGATAATAAATTCTGATTCAGTACAGATTATGTCTTTAGTAAATGAGCTGAGTCCAGCTGGTAATGCNAGGTCTCCCACATTACAGGCAGATTTTTTACCAGCTAAGCCACAAGGGAAGCCAAAGAATACTGGAGTGGGGAGCCTACTCCTTCTCCATTGGATCTTCCTCACCCAGAAATCCAACCGGGGTCTCCTGCATTGCAGCTGGATTCTTTACCAACTGAGCTATTAGGAAAGCCCTATATAATAACAGTTCTTATTATAGTTCTTCCTATATAATACAGTGAATTATTTTTACCTAAGTCAACCAGTTATTTTAATAGGGTTTCTGATATAAAATTTGCTGTAGTAAAAAAAAAAATGGGGAATAGGGAGAGATAAATTAGAAATTTGAACTTAGCACACACTACTATATACGTAATAGATAACCAACAAAGACCCACTGTATAGCATAGGAAATTAAACACAGTACCTTGGAATAACCTATAATGGAAAACAATCTGCAAAAGAATAAAACCAAATCACTTTGTTGTATACTTGAAATGCAACATGGTAAATTAACTATGCTTCAGTTAAAAAATAAATATCTTATTAGGAATAATTTTGGGGAAAAAAGCCAGAGAAGTAATCAAAAGGTGATATCTAACTAGTTTATGTTGTTGTGAGACAGTAACTATCCAGTCTACCCTGCTAGAGTGAACCTCTGTGAATGACTCTGGACTAACCATTTCCTCTTGAAATAAACCCTGCATATATATTCCATCTTGCAGAACTTTGTGGTTGGATATACTTGAGCTCTTTCAATATCTGCTTCTGGAACTGTTCACAGTTTATTCTACATTCATGAAAAATTAACCTGCATTATTCTAGCTTTTCATTAAAGTGATTTGAGGTTGAATCATTTATTTAATTATTTGTTTTCTATTTGGGTCTGGCTTTGTTCCAAGAAGGTTATAAAGGTATTTGTAACGATGTGTATATGTGTACATATATATATAAAATATGTGAAGATGTATGTAAAGATACAACACAAAATAAAATATATTAAAACAAGAGAATGTAGGAAAAAGAGGCAGTGAGAAGTAAGACCAGGAAAGCACTATAGAGTCAGGAGTTTGACATGGAAAAATCATTCCAGAAAATCATTTAATTTGGCAAAGGTGAGTCCCAATTATGGTGCTAAGTTTATTTTTAATAAGTGGTATAAAAATAGAAGCTGAGTAAATTACAGAATTCCCAGTTTTCTAGCATCACAACAGACATGTGGGCAGCTGTGGCTAACTTCAGCCTCCCAGAGAAATTCAGGAAGTTGACATGCTAGGAAAGCCAGCAGTCTGGGTTCATTCTGCCATCACTTTCACCAAGAATGCAACAGTGAATATGGGAACTTCACCCACCGGAGCCTCTGAGTCTTTATCAAATAGAAATAATAATAGCAATGATACTCTTGCCACATTGTTCTTAGAAATAAATGAGCTAATCTATGACAAGTACTTTGCACAGATTACCTCTGAGTCTTTATCAAATAGAAATAATAAGAGCAATGATACTCTTGCCACATTGTTCTTAGAAATAAATGAGCTAATCTATGACAAGTACTTTGCACAGATTCTAGCATGTAACACATACTTAATACACAATGAATGGGATGAATAGTAATGTATGATAATTTCCAAATCTAGAAACATGGGGCTATAATTCTGAAAAGGATTATTAGTATATTTAAGTTTATATTTAAAATTGATCTTAAGGTTATAAAACAACAGCATTGGGTCAAGTGTTAGGAAACCTAGAATTAATAATCCTATTTCTTCTAGTATCTGATTGGCAATAGATCATTCACTTAATATCCCAGAGTTGTGGTTTTCTCATCTCTGAAGACTGATGGATCAGTCTCAGAATTTGTGCCAGCTCTAGTATTTTCCTATCGAAGAAAAGTTTTTGCTGCTTCTTTTGTTAAAATAGATATTTTTAACAGGTATAATAGACATTTAAATTAATTTAAAAGAGATAATAAGCAATGGAGATTACCCTTGAAATATAATTACCATAGGGAACTTTTTAAATGTTTATCTAAGGAGTAAATTATTGGAAACCAAGAAAATGGAAAAAAAAATCAGAACACAAGCACAACGGAAGCTATCAGCTTCATGTTACCAAGTTAGATATCATTTTAATTGCAATCATTATTTTCACATATAGGGAAAACTCATAAATAATTACATTAGGGCTCTAGACATTTTTATTTATAATTTTCAGGGCAAAGTAGATCCATTGGAACCATGTAACTCAAAATGAAAGACTTCAGATTATGATGTATTAAAGGCAAGAATTGTCTGAGTCTCCTTAGAATTGATTAGAGTTTATTAAAGAGTTGACAAGGGCATACGAAAACATATGTTTCTGATTATACTTTAGTTTTGAGATTTGGTTATAACAGCCGTTGAGTAAAAGGAAAATATTCATTAATATCTAATAAACCATTCAATCGCAAGGGAGATCTTAAATTTTTACAAATTCATTAAGTACTTCATTGCACTGGAGTTTACACTGTGTGTTTCAGCTTTATGAAAATGATGTGCGGCTATCATCAAACTGGGTTTTCAGTATTCTTCACTGCACCATTTATAATTACCTCCCCCCCTTCTTGGGAAAGAACCTCTTGGTTCTTTACCTCTTGGCAAAGGTTTGATTAGCATCCTGCTACATCAAGCAACATGAAGGCAAGCTTGGTCTATCCCCTCCAGGAGGTCTTCTGTGCAATTGAGAGTCAGATGCCTGCAGTGGGATTAAGAGTGAGAGCAGTGCATGGACCACGATGCATGTGACAAAGACTCAGGGAAAACTGAAAAAGACCAGTTCATCAAGGACTCACCAATGGATCCTGACTGTACTCAGAGTAGCTACAGCAGTCCATCTGCCATAGACATTAGTAACTAAGGTACAGAAGGCACTCAGATGCCTGGGGCAAAACCAGGCATCCATATCCTCAGACACAGACTGAAGGATCCCTGTGTACACGGCAATGAGGTTACTGTGAGCTACCCAGGCTCCCATGTCATCCTAGGAAGGACAGGAGGAGGAAAGCAACTGGAGGAGAAGTCAGACTTTTATTGACTGAATATCTCCCCCAAGGGAGAAGACATAACTTGGAAATATCTAAAACATATTTTAGAGAAATCTGGTTTTTCTTCTACAACTTGACACTCACTGAAGGACTGGGACTCAACTAAACTTCTGGCATGTCCAACTAAGTTGTGCTCATTTTCTACCTGCCATGTGTTATATCCTTCTTATATCTAGGAAATGAATACGCTAAACTGGAGTTAAGTACCTGAGTAACTTGGTCCAACATA